ATAAAGACAGCAGTGAACAATAGAGAGGCAGGATGTTAATGAGAAATAGATATGGTTTATTACCTGTTGATGATGACATGTATAGTATTCTCAACCGAACCGGTCTGGGAAATATTTCATGATGGGTGAAGTCTCTTTAATAAGCAAAATGAGAAATAGTGATTGACTGTTTAAAAAATTATAATAATAATTATTGGGAAAAGCATGGAAAAGATATTGAATGATAAAGCGGGGAGATTGATATCTCTGTATTGACTGACATGCATGGCATTCCCTTTTGAAAAAGCAATGGAAGTCAATGTAAAGTTATATGTAATCTAGTGTAATAGAAAGAAGATTATGATGATAATAAAATAAAAAAAATTAAAAAAAAAATGTTTTCTTAACGTGATCATTCCCTAAGGTTTGTTTTTTGTTTGTTTGTTTGTTTGTTTCCTTCTTCTCTCTGATTGCTAAAGTTGAAAGCTGTCATAAGGATTGCACGGCTTCACTTTCTGAATCAGGTAGGACATTTTTAGTTTAATTGTTGACTGTGTCCAGGACATAAATAACAGAACTCTCTTATCCTGAACACTATCCAGTTTATGGAAGTTGCTGCCTTTATGTCTAATTAATGGACCTACTTCTCTCTATTTGAAGTATTCTTTGGTGACACAAAAAGATTTCCTCCACATGGTGGCAAAATTCACTTTTGATTAGTATACTTCCAGCTCTAAAATTCAAAATGCAAAATTCCTTTTCAGAAATTCAGCTCCAAACCAAAGAACCCCATTGAAAGATTCATCCAGCTCTGATCACAGGTTCTCACCTGTACCATCACAGTGGGCAGGAGAATGGGAATTTATGATTAACCAGATCTGCAGAGTGTGGCTTAAAGGAGAGGTAATGGGAAGGGACAAGATGCTATGGCTGACAGCCTCACCAAAATCCTAAGTCTAAAACGTGAAAGGGTTAGTATCTCAATCACGGTGCAAGATGCCCTAAACTCACAGATATCCAGCACATCTTCAAATAGTAAGGGTTTCCATAATAACAATAACTGGAATATGGGAATATAAAGAAAAGATGGAAAATACAGATTAGATTCCCCACAAAACTCTCTCCCAAAGTATACAGGAGGAAAATTCCTCTTTGGCCAAGAGCTGAAAGGTATTTTTGCTTCTCATCCAGGAAAGCAAAGGTAATGCGAAAAGAATATTAATCTGGGACCAGCAGTTGGTGTAATGGCTATGTCGCTGGACTCCCATGTAGTCAACCACAGTCTGAGTCCCAGATCTGGTGGCTTAAACTCATGCTGGGCATGCGTGAGTGTGTGCCCAAGATCCCAAGAGGAGAATGGAGGAGAAGGATTGTGGCCATCCCTCTTGGGGGGTGATTTCTCGCTTTCTGTCTCTGTCTCTCTCTGTCTTTCTGGCTAGTGAACGTGCCCTATAGCAAAAACCTCTCAAAAAAAAAATATTATTCTTTCCTAACTGATGCAACTTTTGGGGGAGAAAAATACACATACACAAACATGCACACAAATGTCTATATGTATAATATATTCATAAGCACTGGTGTAACATGATGATTTGGCTTCTAATACTTAGAAAGTCTAATATTTTTGTTCCTGTGAATATTTTTTATCTTCCTGGGATATCCTGAAAGTTTCTAGCCTCATTTCCCTGGTGGCTCTGTGTTAGAGAATAGAATGGAAAAGGAAATCAAATGCCTTTATTTCATCAGCTGACACTGGGGGGGGGGACAGTAGAGGGATCACAGACTAATGCTGGCAACCAGCCCCTTTTCTCACAGAGGAAAATTACCAGAACTCTCTGCAGAGTGACTAAGAGCAGCCAAAGAGGCTGCCTCATGTTCTCTTCTCATCTGGGACTGAGTAGACAGAGCTTTATAAACAAGACAGAGAGAGAAGCCAGAATTCCACCCTGACGCAGAGCAGGTCAGCACTTACCAGGTGGTCTTCTGAGCACATTCATGGACATTGGACAGATGGCACAGAACTCTAATGGGCAAGAGTACCACAGATGTTTCCTGGACAACTGCAACTCTGACAATCAATGGAAGGGCCCTCCTAGTTAGGGTGGGTACTGACCTTTTTGTGATACAATTGTGGAAACAGAAGCTCCAAGAAACTCCTTGGCTTATCTAGTTGTCTGGCAAGGACGAGTTGGTGTTGAGGGCCATCCCTGACTGAACCTTCCATGCATCTGTTAGAACTGCAGAGTTGCCAAGACCCACAGGACCACCATGACAGAAATCAGAAGAAAAACAAAAGTCCTCTTCTGAAATTGAAATATCACATTATAAGGATAATAGAGATTCATAACTTATTATATGATGCTATCTCAGCTATGAGCCCCATGAAAATAAAGACCTTTGACTTATTCCCTGCTATGGTATAGCTCTTAGTGGAGGAGCTAGTTCACAGAGGTGCTCAAAGCATATTCCATGAATGAAACATTATCTAGCTTTTTTCCCACACCAACCCTAATCATGAAAAAAGGGTGTGTGTGTGTGTGTGTGTGTGTATGTGTGTGTGTGTCTTCATAGAATCCCAGCTTCTGAAATATTAGAGTTCAGGAAAAGATGATTTTTTGTCTGTATATAGATAGTCAGAAGATGAAATAGAATATAGTTGGTTAGAATGTCCTGCTAATTAGAGATTTTGAGTCTAGTGACCTCATGGTCTGTAAACTATACATGTGAATGTTTAAATATTCAATTCTTATCTTTCCTTGTTGGGAAGGAACTCTAGGCATTCATAGGAAAGAGTAAATGAGGGCAGTTGCACCAAGATCAACGCTCTAGGAGAACAAAGTCTTAAGGCACCAGTAAACCAAAGAAAGCAGAAAACTATCAGCCAGCAGCTGAAATACAACTGTTGATGGTCCCTAAAATGCAAAAGTATCTTATTAGCACCATCAACCATTGACCTTCTAAGCCTCTTAGTTGCTTATTGTCCCTTTCTGATGCCCCCTCTCCACTTATCTCTTCCAGCTATGCTTCTTGATGTTAATGGTTACATTTCACTGTTCATACCTTCTTTAGACATTCCCTTTAACCAGTGTTTGTCCATATTCCAATTTCAGGTGAGAAATGAGGCCCTCTGCTCTCCACTGCTCCTTTATCCAACCCTGAAAGAAGAGCAATTGGTCTGAATATTCCAGGTCAGAGAAGTTGAACTAATCCCATTCTTTAGCCTTTCTCTGGGTACAATTTACTGGTTCATCAGAGAAGTCATAACATATTTTTGCATAGGACAGCATAGAAGAATATGTCATGATTTTTCCAATGATCCAATGCTATAAGTGAGGTAACTTCTACTTTTAGAGCTAAACAGCAGAGCACAATTTCCAGGGAAGATAATTATCAATCATATGAACAACCAGGCTCTATGTGCTTTTGGCTTCACCATGACATTCTTTTCACAAGGCTAGAACACATTCTCAGAGTATCATTTACAGACAGTATTCACACATGAGGAGTAAAAGGACACAGCACAAAATCTTCACCCAAACCTGCTTCTCCATGTTTAGGCAGGTCAACAGTACTACAGCCCACTCACCTACTTGGATAGCCACTCACTCCTGCCACTACCAGAATCAGCTTCTTTTTATGTGGCTACCAATCAGTGCCAAGACATTGAACTCTTTGTTCTCAGGCAAAATGAGTCTCCAGTGAAAGACAATTAAAATCTAGCTCTACGATTAGGAGCACTGAAGACTGAATGGGTCTCAAAGGCCCCTTGGGGTTGATGAAGTTATGTTTTCCAGTGATCTTTAGCTGAATGGACTGAAAGGGAAGGTTTCTAAGCACTGTGAGGGAAAAGGAAAAGGAAAATAAACAAAACAGAGAGACAGCTGGAGTGTGGATGCCCAAGTTCCTTCTGAACTTTGTACAGGGAGACCTCACATGTTCTTCTCCCCTCCTGTGAGGCAGAGACAGACAGACACTTCCCTGCCACACAGCCTGGGAACGCCAACTTTTCGCTGTCTGAAAATCCATAGGAATGTTTTTCTCTGGTCCTGATCTCAGTAGATTAAGATGAAGAGAAATAGCCTTGTTTTCACTTCCCTTTTATCTCAATTTTTACTTGCTGCACTTCAATCTCTTTTCATTTCCTCCGTCTCTTCCGTTTCTTTCTAGTTCTGTTCTTAGTCCTCCATCTCATTCTTACTAAAGAGGAAAATAATTCTTAGAAGGGGAATAAAAAGGATAGCTTTCTCATCACAAAAATAAATTTTTGGTGTTTAGAGACTATCTTAAATATGTTTTTTGCTCCATTAAAAATTGTTATTGTTATCGTCACCTCTATACCCAACTTGTCCAGAAGAAGCAAGGTGAACTGAGTACTCTGCTGTTCTAGGATTCCCAGGGTTTGTGTATCTTCAGGTTTTCAAACATACAAGAGCAAGGCAATAAGAGAACACAGTGAAATAAATTCTTAATTGTCTTTAGAAAAATTAATGAAGACTTCTATAAAAGGAGTGACATTTGAGCTGACTTAAAAGATGAATAGTGATTCTCTAGCCAGACAAAAAAGTAAAAAGCTTGTGGTGCTAAAGAAAAATCATCTTAAAAGATAAGAAGATGAAAAATAACTTCCATATTCAGGGAATGGCATTCAACAGTAATATTTGAAATGAAACCATACAAGTAGGTAAAAGTCAGGGTAAGGAGGATCCCATGCTTTATATTTAATGGATTGAACATGGTTGCATGAAAATTGAAAAGAACTATAAAGGATTAAGTTAGGAAGCATTGCAATCAAATTTGCATATTAAAAAGATCATTCTGGCTACCTTTCTGGAGATAATGCAACTGAGTAAAGACCAAAGGCAAAGAAATCAGTGGAAGCTACAACAGAGGCCAGGTAACAGATGCTGAGGGTCTGAACTAAGGCCGAAGCATAGATTTGGAGAAAAGGGACTCATAATACTTGCCACTTCGTTATCAGGGTAACATTTTTTTCCTGCATAATATTGTGATGTAGAATCAGACAAGAGAACATCTGCGTTCTAAGGCAAGAATTGTGTGTTTTCTTTGCTTACCTTTATCAACAGTTAGGTTGAACCAACCACAGTGGCACAGTTGGTAGAACACAATTCATGACAATACAATCATATGGAAAGTCCCGGGGTTCGTGTCCTGGGTCAACCTGAACACACCAGGCATGCCCATGGGCTTTCCCATTGTTTTGACTGGCTAGAAAGCTGGGGGGAAGATTGCATTATGCAGATCCTATTGGCAGTCCCTGTGTGTGTGTGTGTGTTCATTCCTCTCCCACTCTCCCTCATGAGAGAAATTAATTAATTAATTTTTTAAATTCTCTCATCCTGGGGACTAGCAGAAGGCATAGTGGTTACATCGCTGGTCTCCCACGTGGCCAACCACAGTTCAAGTCCCACACCCAATGGCTTGAAAATCATGCCAGGCATGTGTGTGTGGTGTGTGTGTGTGTGTGCCCAAGACCCCAAGAAGAGAATGGAAAAGAGATTGCACTGTGATCAACCTCTTGGGGGTGATTTTTACTTTCCCTCTCTCTGTCTCTCTCTCTCTTTCTTTGTCCCATGAGCACATGTGCCCTAAGATAAAAACCTCTCAAAAAATAATAATAATAATCTTGTCCTAAACCTAAACTAAGGTCTTCCACATTGAGTAGTGGTGGGGGTGGTGATGGTGGTGGTGATTTCTGATGATGATGATGATGATGATATGATGACAGTGACAAACCATTTAGAGTGTGAGTGCAGAATTCAACCTACCATGAACTAATATGCTGTGGTCTGAATATGTCATCCAAAATTTGTATGTTGAAACTTAACCTTCATGGTGATGATATTAATAAATGTGGCTTTGGAAGGTGGTTAGATCATGAGGGTGAAACCTTCATGAGTCGGATTAGTGCCCTTATAATAGAGGCTTGAGAGAACCTGTTTTCTCCTTCCACTATGTGAAGACCTGTAGTAGGTACCATCCATGAGAAACAAAGACCACCAGGCCACGCTTGATGGTCCTTCAGTCTTGGACTTCCTAGCCTCTAGAATAGTAAGCAACAAATGTCCATTGTTTATAAATTACCCAGCCTAAAGTATTTTGTTGTAGCATCCCAAAATGACTAATATTAGATTTAATACCAATTATTCCTTCAAAAGGTTTGAGATTGTACCTTACCAAAAAAAGATACTATTATTGGTTGCAGTTATTATCGACTTCAAATGGGACATTTACAGGCACTAAGTGCCTCCAAGCCAAGGAATAGAAAGTAACTGCCATATATGATGTTAGAACTTAAATTAGAACAAATGGCTTCCTTATGTACATTCTTGTTGACATTCGTTCTTTTCACTACTCCAGCCATATCTCTGGTTTTCTCTATTGCCATTCCTCCTTCTCACGGAACTTCTACCTAATTTTTAAAGCTTTCTTGCCTAGGTACATGCTGTTTCACCTGATTTGAAGACTTTTCCTCTATCTACTGTACTTTGGAAATCAGCTCATCTCTCAATTTTTATCTCAAAGATTGTTTTTGCCTCTTTGCAAACTTCTCTGCTCCAGAGCAGAGATGATTGTTTAATACTTTCTGTACCTAAACCACTGTGCTCATAAGTGTGTTATAGTGCCTAGGTATTAAGTTGAAAAAAAGCTGGTTAAAACAAAGAATAAATGCATGAGAAAATATAAGAAAAATAGGAAGGCAGTAATAAAGAGTAAAGAATGGATTAAAAAGTTAATATAATCCTATAATGACCAAGGATTAAGAACTAGGACAAAGTGGCTTATAAATGTATTTTTACATTTACTTTTACATTTTACATTTATTTTTACATTTTTACATTTACCCTCTCTCTAGAGAGAGTGTCCATAGCCTATCAGATTCTTAAAGGGGTCTGAGAAACAACATGTTTAGAAAAGTACACATGGGCCAGCCCATGGTGCGTTGGTTAAGGCAACTGGATCCCACATGATCAACCACATTTTCCAAGCCTGGATCCGGTGGCTTGCAAAGCACACCAGACACATGTGTACACATGCCCAAATTTCTCTCTCTTTCTGTCTCATTCCAGAAAGTGTACATGCCCTCTAGCAAAATTAATTTTTTTTTAATGAAAAAGGGTTAACCTAAAACATTCTAAAAGACAGTAAAATACTTTACTGTACTTCTGTTGGGTCTCATTATTCAATCATATTTATGGATTGACAAAGAACAGAAATAGTGAATAAAGTACATCAAATAAAAAGCAGCTTTTTACTCAAGGGAGAATAATAGTAGAATGATTCAATGAGTTCTGGCATCAAATAAGACAAAGCCACATAAAGTATTCAAAATCTAACAGTATATAACTTTAGGTATATGTAAGTGTTATATGGTTGTAGCAAAATGAAAGGTTTCAAAGGCTATAGCGTGAATAAAGTTGCATTTGTTAAGATCCCATCAAATTCAATGATGTAGACATAGAGGAAAATACATGTATACAATAAGAGCTTATCAGACTCCCAATAGACAGAAAAATTAAGTGATGTGTAACTTACACTCAAGAAAATAGATTAAGCATACATAAAGTCAAGGAATCATTGACATAGCAACATAAATAAAGTTAGTACATACTATCAAGGTCACAAACAAGAATTCAGACAGACCCAAGCCAAAACTTCTGTTGCTAATAATATAAATTACAGCAAAATAGGCCTTAAGTGCCCGAGGCCCTTCTTTTTGCCCTCATGAATAGGGAGTCTGCAGATTTCACAGACTGTGAGGCTCATGTCAAGGTGGAGTCAATCCTTTTCTGGCTTTTTCTTTTTACACCCAGAAAACACATGACTGCCATTGTTCTTTCATAATATGCATGCAATCTTCCAAGTCAACAGCAAATTTCACATCAACCTATCCAATCCAGAAAGAGAATGGGTCCACAAAGAGGAAGTGTGAAGTAGCAGTTGTCTTGTACTAAACGGGGTCCTGTGAAATTCTCCCGGGAACCCTCATAGATGGAGTTTCCCTTTCAAGTCAGCCATACACTATGAACCAGAGACCCTTGGACACGAAACTTACCTGAAAAGTGCTATCAAAGATGAACTAGATTCTTGCAAATCAGACTCTTGCAAGTCAAGTGTAGAAGGACATCACTCATTCTCATTTCCCTCTAGCCTAGAATAAGAAAGTATGTGCCCCAGAGGCATCCTGACTGATTTACATTAAATTGCAAAGAACGACATGATGACAGAGGATGAGAAAGGTCAAGGCCAGCAGGTGGCATGGTGGTTAAAGGCACTGGAATCCCACATGGCCAACCATGGTTCAAGTCCTGGACTGAACAGATTGCTTTATCTCTCTCTCTCATTAAATTGAAAAATAATGATGATAAGTAAATAAATAATTATTTAAAGAAAGAAAGGAAGAAACAAGAAAGAAAGATCAGAACTGCTGATATATTCTGAAAACCACTGGACAGATGACAGTAACCACCAAGTAAGGACGTGCTGATGTTCTCCAGCTGTGGTTTGCCACAGCCACCAAGAAAGGCCTTCTTTCTTCCCTCCCCTCCCCTTGTCTACTTCCCACTAATATCTTTTACACTAATGGTAAAGGACTACAATCCTTATAATGTTAATTTAACTAAATAAAAATTAAAATATAGGCTGGCCTCATAGTGTCTCAGTTAAGCACTATACACAGAAAGTCAGATCCCACATGGTCAACTTAGTTTAAATTCCAGTCCCAGAATCTTGAAAAACATGCTGGGCATATGTGTGTGCATGCTCCAAATCCTAAGGGAATGGAGAAATGAAGAAAAAATTATTGTGGCTGGACCACATCTCTAGCAGTGCTCTCTCATCCACATGCATACATGCATCCACAAGCATACATGCCCTCTGGTAATTAAAAACAATTAACATATTAATGTGTGGTTTGTACATACAGAGAAGGCTGCAGTGAAAAGGACTTTATATCATCTATTCCTAAAACTTCAATATGCTGGAAAAAAAATCTATGATTTTTCTTTAAAAATGTATATTGGAGGGAACCAGCATTTAGCGTAATGGCTATGTCGCTGGACTCCCACGTAGTCGACCACGGTTCGTGTCCCGGACCCGGTGGCTTAAAACTCGCGCCGGGCGCATGTGCGTGCATGCCCAAGATCCCGAGAGGAGAATGGAGGAGAAGGGATTGCGGCGTGACCATCCCCCCTGGGGGGTGATTTCTCGCTTTCTGTCTCTATGTCTCTTTCTGTCTGTCTGGCGAGCGCACGCGCCCTACAGTGAAAATCTCTCCAAAAAAAAAAATGTATATTGGAGCCATTTTCAGAAATGCATTTTACTTGCATTTAACTGCATCTGCCTTTACTTTCTAAATGCAAAGTCCCTCTTTAAATGTTCACTTTGACTCCCTTGAGAGCAATACATATACTCATATCTTTTAAATAAATAAATAAATAAATAAATAAATAAATAAATAAATAAATATATAAATGACTAAGCCCAAGATAAGATGGCATTGGCCATAGGGTTTCCAAGTATTTGTGGTCTTTGCAAGATCTTTTAGCAAGAGTCCATCTCTGCATTTCTGGCAGTGACCATGACAGTGCCTGAAACACACCAAGCCAGAGCATCTACAATCCTGGTACTCATTTCCATCAATAATCGCTCAGGATGGGCTTTTTCCTTTAGGTTGAATAACGGGATAGGTCCTAGTTACTCAGAAAATGGTCTCTAGACCAGAAGCAGCAGCAGGATCTGAGAGCATGTAAGGAAGTCTAAATCACAGTCCCCTTCCCAGACCTACCTGATCAGGCTCTGTACTTTTCTAACTTAGCGAGTTGATTCTGGGCACAATAACATTTGAGAAGTCATGGTGTAGAAAACACTGTCTATCTTACCATTGGTACCTAGAGAAAAGAAAAGGCAGAAAGGCATTCATGTTTCTACATCGCAGGTAGAGGAAGGCAGGACCAAGCTACGGGCCTGATGTGTTCGTGTACAAGCATGAACTAGATTTGGGTGATGACCGTGTGCCTCTCTCAGTTTGCAGACTGGAGTGATTTCTACAATCGTAATTAAATCTCCCTCTACTTCTATTTTGACTATGAGCTAACACTTTTTGACCATTTACTACATCCCACAAACTATCTTCAAGTTCCTAATAAGCACTACCTCACCTAATCTTTTTTAGTGATTCTGTGAGTAGGTTCTATTACTTTCTCCATTTTGTAAAGGAGAAAACTAAGGCCCAGAGCCTGTTCTATTGCTAATAGAAAATACCCAAGTCTTGAGCCAGTTAACAGCATGGTGGTTAAGGCAGCTGGATCCTTCATGGCTGATTGTGGGATTAGAGTTCCAGACCCGGCAACTTGAAAATCACACTGGGTGCACATGCATGCATGCCCAAAATCCTGATATGAGAGTGAAAAAGGAATGCAGTGTGGCCATTTCCCCCAGGGGTTTCTCTCTCTCTCTCTCTCTCTCTCTCTCTCTCTCTCTCTCTCTCTCTC